TCTTTTATTCATAGAATTTTCATTCTCCAGCTTTCTTCCATTTCAACTTCTGCCATCATTCATGTGAGCCCACTTTACTTTTTTGTTCTTTTTCCCATGTCCTTTTCCCCAACCTGCCATGAATCTGCACATCAACAGGAAGTGGTTCAAATGCCTCACTCTCCCCATCAGGCCTCCCTCCTTTCCAGCTCACTCCATGGCTTATTATCCTTCATAAGGTCTGTTTTCTCTTTCAGTTCCCACCATTGTTTCCTTCACTTGATTTTTTATTCAGCTTAAAGTTAAAGGTTCTTTGTTCTTATCTCTTGCAATTCCCTCAACTCATTTACTCCTCTCTCCTTCCAACACATCATTTAACTAGACTCTACTCTCACTCACCTTCTGCATAATATATGCGTGCAATCAACATTGCCGCAGTTAGACAACCATAATTCACTAGTCCACTAGGTCTTCTAATAAGTTTTAGTACAATTATTTTATAGTCCAACATTTTATCTGTCTCCAAACCTGGTACTCTTGGTTGATTTTTGTGTGGCAATGTTTGTTTGGTAATGGATTTATTTTATCTCTTCCTTTTCTGTGTGTCTCATTGTGACTGCAGTTATAAAATATAAAGAATATGAGATAAATATAAAGAAACTGAGATAAATATAAAGAAACTGAGATAAATATTACCTAAACCAAGAAATGGGCCATTAGTGTTTATTCAGTCTCACTTGCAGGCAAGTTGACTTGTTTTTAGAATTGCAGGCAGGTTTGGGGGCTTAGGGGTGCCCCCTCTCCCTGCCCTGTAACACATGGACTCAGATTCCTCCAGTAGTCCTTGCTGCTGTTTGCGTCTGCATATATGAGGTCTGGAGGGCTGTTGGGAATTTTTCAGTATTTCCACCCCATCCGTAGCTGGCTGCAGGCTCTAAGTAGCTACATCACGATGACTGTCTGATGTCTGTTCCATTTCCCCCCAGAAATAGAAAGCTGTTGCTTTTTACTCTGGGCAGTGTTAGCGGTGGGTGTGAGGAGTGAAGGAAGAGGAGCTGCCCTTGGATTTCCTACTCCATCCTCTGGCCTGGCAGGACCTCTCTGTGCCTGTGAGGCTTAGGGGTGGGACTTTCTCAGCAGACATTCTCTCAGCTGTGGCAAACAACCCCACCTCCTACTCAGGCCCAAGGGAGTTTCCTGCCCCTCTCCTTGCCAAAGCTGAAAACTCTGCTTTCTATCTGTACAGAATTCTGCATGTAAAAGACCTTCTGTTCTCACCCTCAGTGACTTATGTCAGTGCTTGCTCAGGAAGTCAAGTTCCTCCCCAACTCCATCCACACAAACCTTCTAGGACAAAAGCATTTTTCTGAAGTTTGCTCAGAAACTGGGGATATGACAATTTCTTGTCCCTCCCCAGGAATAAATGATGCTTGCCTCACGTCTGTGGGCAGAGCTGTGCCCAGGCTGCTTCATTGTCACTCACTTCTCTGCCAGCAGGCTCAAGCTATTACTTCTGGTCAGAGGCAGGCCCAGGCCATCTGCCAGGTGTTTGTCCTTCTGAGCAGCCAGCCACTATCATGTACACATGCAGGGCCTTCTCCAGATACCTTGGCTCTGTCCTTGAACTTTGAGGCCCTGCACGTACCCCACTTTCTCTCCTGTTGTGATAGGAACCTTGCTTCTGTTTTGTGGTGGGATGTAATGAGGGACACAGCAGTCATGGAGCTGGCCTGCATAGGCAGGATTCTGCTACTTGAGAAGAAAGTCTTGTGTCTGTGAGCAGTGACACAGCTGCAGCTTGACCCTTCACTGGTCAAGGAACATCTTGTGATCCCCAGTCAATCCATCCCTGATTATCCGGCCCAGGCAGACAACCATAAAGGTCATTCATGAAGTCCCTGTTGGGGTGTCACTCTCCCCACCAAGAGAAAAGAGCTATGTGCCCTCTCTGCCCCACCCCAGGGGCTTGTGACCTTTGAGAATTCAGTTCGTCTGCACAACTGAGCCCAGCTTACTAACGGCAGAACTGAGCACACATGATCAAATAAGCGGGCGGAAATCGAATGTGGCCTTTTTGTATAGACCAAATATTTGGTTTATTAAATAATGTGATTTCAGTTTGTAATTAGACAGTGATTATGTTTCAAATCATTTGAACAATGAGAAATAGTTATTATCAATTTAGCACCCCAGTCTGGTTTTTATAGATTATATTAACTGCATGAAAAAGAAGAAATTGTTCACTCTTCTAAAAATAAATGTATACTCTTTTCCAGAACAGAATTTATCTAAAATAAATATCTTAAGTTTATTACCCTAACTTTTTTTTTTTTTAAAGATTTATTTATTTATTTGTACAGAGCTGGGGTACAGGCCAGAGATGCGGAGGGTGAGAGAATTCACCAGAGACAGAGCGGGGAGCAGAACAGGCAGATCAACGAAGTACACTGCTGAGGGGAGCAGCGGGCGGGTCAGGAGAGGTCTGCCATGCCATGTGGTCGCCTCCCGGGCAGGCGGGAATCGAACTCATGAGGAAGTGGCTTTAGATTCTCAGTGCTGTGCTTTAACCCGCTGCGCCACCAGGGAGGGCCATTACCCTAACTTTTTTTTTAAGTGACGATGAATTGATACCTTTAATTAGTCTGTTATGAAGTTAGTTCTTGTTTAAGAATATGCCAGGGCAGAAGTTCTATTCTGATAGCACAGGGAATGTGGTCAGTATGTTTTAAAATGATCCTGTGGACTGAAAGATACTAGCATGTACAAATTTTCTTCTTTTCATTAAAAATATCTATTAATTAAGAACTTAGATTATAGATATAGCTGACTGCACAAATAAATCATTTAGAGAAAAATCTTAGTCATATTAGAAAGACTTATACATAGCTTTTTTATTTTATTTTTTTATTTATTCATACAGAACTGGGGTACAAGCCAGAGATGCAGTGGGTGAGAGGATTCACCAGAGACAGAGTGGGGAGCAGAACAGGCAGATCGACGAAGTACACTGCTGAGGGGAGCAGCAGGCGGGTCAGGAGAAGTCTGCCATGCCATGTGGATCTCCTCCGGGGCAGGCGGGGATCGAACTCATGCAGAAGTGGCTTAAGCTTCTTAGTGCAGTGCTTTAACCCGCTGCGCCACCAGGGAGGGCCTATACATAGTTTTAAACTTTCTTGACCTTATTGATCTGAAATTCTTGTCTTGAAAACAAGATTTTTATGTACAGTCATCAGATTCTTTCTTGAGGTGAGGGGCTTGTCAGTGATGAATGACATGATCTGCAAAAATGTGAAGAAAATAAAAATGGTCACTCCAACAGAGACAAAGGGGCCATTTTTCTTGGCCTATCTATCTGCCCAAGCTGGAGTCTGCTGGCCGTGACTTCAGAGAGATATATATGGTGTCACTTCAGGCACTTTTAGGAAGCCAGTCATTTGCTTATGCTAATTTCTCAGACCTTCTTAAATTTCCCTTAAAATAGCAACATTTATTCATGAAAACAAAAGAAGCCCAAGGTGGTCTGTGTTAATCTTGAGAAGAGAACTTGTTACAGAATTTTTGTCCAAGGTCTCATTGTATACAATTTGTGTTCAAAAATTGGGAGTAGGGCCTTCCCTGGTGACACATGGGGTTAAAGTGTAGCACTATGAAGCTATCTGTAGCTACTGCACAAGTTGATCAGTGGCCAGGGAGGAGACCCACATGGCTCAGCAGATCTCTCCTGTCCCACCCACTGCTCCCCTCAGCAGTGTCTTTCCATAGATCTGCTTGTTCTGCTCCCCGCTCTGTCTCTGGTGAATCTTCTCAACTCTCCACACACACACCTCTGCTTGTACCCCAATTCCTGTATGCATAAATAAATAAATCTTTATTGGGAGTAAATATAAAAGGAAGTGTGTGTGTGTGTGTGTGTGTGTGTGTTTTCTTAATGATAAAAACAGCATCCTTATAACAAGTCTCAGTATACTTTCTAAGCAGCAAACGGTGAGTAAGATTTACTTCAAATAGCTCTAGTTCTTGCATCTTGACTTTGCTTTGAGCTGAGGCTTAGGGGAATGGAAGTCAGTTTATTGTTGTTTTAACCCACTTACTTTCCAAAGAAGTAAGTTACTTGAGCCACAGAATCATTCTTTTGTGAGTCTGAACTTTCACAGGATCCAGGATAAGGCAATATCAAAGGACTGATCTTCAAGGTCAATTAAAATCCTTAGCAGGATGCTGGTTGCTGAGGGCTGGAAGCTGCTATGTTCTAGAGGGTAGAACCTCTATTGGCAGAATCATAGGAGGATATGGCATCCCCAACACCAGCCCATCCACTTGGTATGAGGAAAAACGCACTAATTTACAGAAATATGGCCAAATAATTGCTTGCTTACTTCAATCTGCATCTCTTTATAGCTAACTATTCTCAATCCCATTATAGAAATGGAAGCTAAGTTTAGCAAATTAGTGGTTTATGTTTAGTGCACAAAATTCTTAATTAACAAAATAAAATGCCATCATCCATTGTAAATCACTTTGCTAAACTTTCAAACTTCAAAAGGATTTTTGTCTTGTCCAAAAGTTACTTTCAAACCCCTGCTGATCTGGCACTCATGCACTGATTCCCTGTGGAGCTGAGTGGAGGAATGTAACGGCACCAATTAAAGAGACTTTGAGCCAGCGTAGACAAGCAGCGGCCATCTTGTCCACCCTCCGCCTCCAGGCAGAAACTATCCTCTGCACCAAAAATTGTTGCTTGTATCCTGCTGACAAAAATGCTCACCACATGTAAATGACAAGTCATAATCCAGTTAATGTAACTAAAGCAGATTGTTAACTGTTCAAAACTTATTTATTGTGTTCTAAAGATGCTGATTACAAAAGCTCATCTGAATTGTTTTAATTCCTCCTTTCTGAAAAAATTATTTTTTAGAAGAAAAGTACTCCAATAATTGTGAAGATGTGGGAAGCTTGTGTCCAGGAAATAAAGTTAACTTTATCAGCTTATTAAGTGTATTTTTGGTTTCCTTTCACTCTAGGTCTACCTTACGGGTGGGAGGAAGCTTACACAGCAGATGGAATCAAGTACTTCATCAAGTAAGTACAAGCATCTCAACCAAGTAAGCAATTTTCTTCACATCTGGAGAGAACCTGGAAGTTGCAGAATAATCAGCAAAACCAAGAAACCCTCTTGGAGGTTACAAAAATTAGAAACAAGAAGTGAAGCCTCACCATTTTCATTTCATGTGATTTAAATGCTAATATCAGATATCATTTAGGGAAAACATCCTAGTAATAATTACAAGGGAAACATAAAAAAATGGGACAGGATATGAGCTTAAATGATGACTACCTGAATTTACTTCCAGCTGAAAGTATTAACTTAATATGTCTTAAAGTTACAAACAATACTAGTGATAACCAACATTCTTAATGCTTTAAAATATACACATTTTGTTTATTCTGAAAATGTTTTTGAGCATATCCTATGTGCCTGTCAGTGATCCACATATTGGAGACACAGTAGTGAAATATGTAGACTAGTTCTCTGATGTTGTGAACTTTATGTAATGTGAGAAAAGACAGCGATAAATAACTGAAATGATAAATGAGGCCGTATATGAACAACCCTTATCTCAGTGGACTTTCTGAACACCCTTTGAGGTGATTGCACTTATCATTTTCTCTACTTTGTAGATGAAGAAAACAAGAACCTAGTAGTTACCCAAAAATCCACAGCAAATAAATCACCAAACCAGAATTGAATCAAAGTCCTCTGACTCCAAGAGTCTCTCTACTGTAGGAGACTGTCACTGGTACAGACCCATCTTTCAACAGGAAATCCTTTTCTAGCTTTTGGACTGGCTAGCGTTACTCTGGCCAAAGTCATCTGCTGTATTTCCTCCACATTCTGGGTGGCTCCTCTTAGGCCAGAGTACACATTGTGAGAACATAAAGGAGACTGCCCACAGACTCTCTTACATGGCTATGGGCAAATTATATTTGGTATGCATTTGGAAATGGAGAGGGAGATAGGTGTCTGTTGTCCTTTCAAATTGCAAATATTTTCCAAAGCTTTATCCAGATTTTGGATTCTCAGATTCAGCTTCCTACTTTAGCCTTCATCTCAGTTTTATCATAAGAAAAATATTACTTACTTTTAGAGTTGTTAAATGTTAAACACTTAGCACAAAATTGTGAACACAGTAGATGCCCCCCAAAAGGCACCGATAATTTACATTTTGAAGAACTCATCACTGTGGACAAAAAGTAACACGAAAAAATCATAGGACCATTAAAAACACAGAATCCAAAAGTTTCATATTTGAAAATAAGTAACTGAAAACTAGGGATAAACCTACCAAAGTGTTTTTTGTGTGCTCTCCAGCAAAAAGTAATTAATAAAGCAAAAGTGTAGTTGATGATATGTGAAGAGGTGGGGGCTTCTAGGGAGAGGACCCAGGAATCCCATGTACAGATCACATTTAACACCATACTGTTCACTTCCAGAATCATAACTCTCTTCTAGAGGAAGAAAAAAAAAATGTGCTCTAATGCTGTGTTAAAAATGTTGAGTTCTTGGGAGTTTTGAGTCATTTAGGGGAGGCAGGAACATGAAAAACCACTTTCAAATTTACTTTGGGTTTCATTCTTCTACTAGCTTTGTATGAATAAGGAACCATACAAGGGAAGGGGGCGAGCTGTCATTGAGCACTAGCTGGTGCTGAGTGGCCAGGCATGGTGAGGTGTTTTGTCCTGTGCTTCATTTCGTCTGATCCTCCTAACAGTGTAGAAAGTGGACCTCACTCAGCTCTTACTAGGATAGCTTTGTGATGGTGGAGAGCCGCATCATGCCTTCTGCCATGCCTCGCTCCTGCAGGAGCCAACCAGGGGAAGGTAAGCTAGCATTCACTGATAAATTGGGGTTCCAAATTCAAAAGTCCTTTGCCTAAGTTTGCCGTTAGCTCTCTGTCAATATATCCCGAAAGCTGAATGTCAGAGCCTGACCTGTGCCCTTGCAGCAAAGGGAACTAAGGACACAATCACTGACTACAAAGGTTTTGAAGGGAGATGGCCAGTCAGAGAGTGAATGTGTCCCTGATACCCAGCTGATTTAAGTCCCTGCCCCTGACAGACTGGAGCAGTAGCCTTGACTAGGTTCCCACTCCAAGGGGAGGGAAAATAGATGTGCCCTTTGACCTCACATACCTAACCTATAGTCCCTGTGGAAGGAATACAATGAGACACAGTTTGTAGCCCACTCTTGCTGTGTGACGTGTATCTCCAAGGGTGTCTTTAAGAAGCCCGGCAGTTCTCTTCCTGGGCCTTCATCTTGACTTACCAGGAAAGCAGAAAACAGATGATAAGATAGACCTGTTTCTTACAGGACCATGGTGGGTTACATTGTCTCAACATGAGAGAGAGAGAATACATGTGGGAAAAAGAGGCTAAATTAAGGCTAAAGAGGCTAAATTAAACTCACTAAGGTCACATTGTAGAAAAGTTACAGGACCAAGTCACAGAGCCAAGTTATAGGCCTACACACACATACACGTGTACACACACACAGACACACACACAAAGGTACATACACCCGTGTTATACCACTTATGTCTCCTTAGTATGTTTACATGTGACAAGAAAGCTATTTAAACAGCTCTTAATTTAGGTTGAGCTCTGATTTTATCAGTTTAAAAAGTAGCAGAATAGAAACTTAGTTCTAAGAAAAAGCATCTCCTGGAGATTAGAAAGGTCAAATTGTAAAGATAAGAAAATATAATCATGTACCAGCTCTTCCTTTACCCAGCTTCATGCAAGAATGGGTTGCTTACTATAAGATGGGCTTTTTGCTTGAAGTTAACCCTATGCAAACATTGATGCTAATTTTATCTCAACCAATTGAGAACATCCTTATGTAGTTCTTACATATTTCCCTGATTTCTTATACCCAAGCCATTGAACAAGATCATGTGTACATTCATTCTATACACAGCACAGTGAGTTCAGCAGGGAGATACTAACCTGTTTAAATCAGATTAGAGACACAGCTTTCATTCCTCCCTGCTCCAAACACGCCTGTCTGTTCTCATAACCCCACCATTTTTTAAATCTTGTAAGTGCTTCACCTTCTTCCTCGGGAGTTTCTTATTTAAAGAAGACAGGATGCTAGATTGTCAAACTAACTTGATGCTTGTAAATGGCCCCTGAGTGTGGGTTTCCAGGGGTTTATATAAGAGTCAAGTGTGTAAGTTCTAGTGCAGGTGGGTTTGATTACAGGAGGGCCATCTGGTGTAAGGGAAGGAAGATCATGGGCTTTGGGTTTGGAGAAACTTGGCTTCAAATGCTGTTGTCTCCACGGAAGAGCTAAACAACTTTGGGTATGTTTAGTTAACCCCACTGGTCTTTAATTTCCACATTTGTAGAATGGAAAGAATATTAGCCTTTAATAAGGTTCCTTTCTAGAATAAATGAACTTATGTATGTAAAGAGCCTGTTCTGCCACTTGACCCAAAGTGAACACTTTCAGAAATAGCTTTTTCAAGTAGGAGTAGTTCATTTTCCAGGTGAATAGTACATTGGAGGCAAAAATAATAAGTCATGAACTCAGTCTGTTGCCATTCACCTTTAATTAAAAAACAAACAAACAAAAAAAAAAAAAAACAGGATGATTGCAGTCATCCTTCCAGAACATGGGAGAAGATGATGGTCTGTATACATAGAATCTTTTCCCTGAGATTGACATCTGTCGCTGTCTTCCCAGAACTTGAATTGTTATATTTGATGGAAGCCAAGCCTCAGGCAAAGGAATAAGTGTCCCAGGAATACCCAGGAATAGTCCATATTGAATATGCCTACCCAGGCTCATGTTCACTGCCATCCGGTTAACACCTTCTAGTCATCTACTTAAGTCCTTTTGTAAGGGAAGAAAACAGTTTAACTGGTGTAAACATATTTTATCAAGGTGTTGACATAGCTAGGACCAGTGTTTCATAGAATCAACAATGTCCATGTCTTGCACATATTTATGGTATGTGCATGTATACTAACTTGTGTATGCAGAGGCATGACTTGCCCACTTGGCTGATTGATTGATTGATTGGTAGATATCAGTGCACTCAGAGGAAAGCTTGCTTATTTTCTCCTTCTAGAGAGAATCACAACAGTCTTAAACTTAATCACAAGGTATCAGTTATCTTTATGGTCCTAAACTGAAATGATCTGATTAACAACCATTTCTCCACTGAACTTTTTATTTTTTTAAGTTATATGTTTACAGATTTATAATTTTCTTACAGCATCCCACTTCTGAAGTTCATATGCGTTTTATGTATGCTTTATAACTTAATACAGTTGTGATGAGACTTATGTTTGATAATTAAAGTGAATTTAAATATTGCAAATTAGACATCGCTGCTAAATTGCTTCCTTCATATTCTATTTGCTTTGAAAGATTAAGATTTCACTATGATGGATGTTCATTACTGTATGAATTTCCTGTTCCTGAATAACAAATTCCCCCCAAATATGGCAATTTCAAACAATAAACATTTCTCTTCTTACCCAGTTACCAGAGAGGGAAGGCTCAGGGGTTGTTTGCCAGATCATTCTGGCTCTTTTCCCTCTGGGTTTCTCAGGACATTGTCGTCAGACAGGTAGCTGGGGCTGCGAGTCGAGAATGTTTTAGTGGGGCTGTTTGTTCCCAGCTCACACATGTGGCTGCTGGCAGGAGTCTTCAGTCCTTACCACAAAGTGGGCCTTTGTCCACGGGACCGTGGCGCTGCTGAGCCAGCAGCAAGTGGCCTCTCCCGGAGTGAGGCACATGAGAAAGTGAGAACAAGGAAAACACTAAGACCTAAGTTGCAGCGTCTTTTGTAACCAACCTCAGAGATGACTAAAATACCATCTCCTTTGCCAGATATTAGTGGTCACACAGGCCAACCCTGATATCAGTGCACAAGAGCGAGTGCCAGCAGGTGGGGGTCATCAGGAACCATCGGAGAGGATCCTGCCCCCATGTTGTTTTACAGTACATCAAATACATATATACACAGTGTGCATAATACTGTAGGACACTATATAAACAGTACAAAATCTTC